CAAAATGATTATCATAATCACCATAACCATTATGATCATTCATAACCATGTTAATCGTCAAAATTATCGTGGTCATAATGATGGTTAAAATTATTTTAATAAGCATTATTGTAATCTGAACTATATTCATTGTCGAAAACTTCTTCATCAATTACCATTGTATAATAACCATCAGACTCACCACTGCCGTCATTTTGCATTTACAGGTAATGTATATCGGATGGAGTTAAAAAACGTCCGAGATCAAGACTCTGGGACGTATGTCTGCCTGACACCATTTGATTCAAATCGAGGCAAAGTTCACATCGAAGTCATCCGTAAGTATTAGCATACACTGAATGCTAAAGATGTTTTATTAAGTTATTCTGTTGTTGTTATTGTTGTTGTTTCTGCTTTTGTTTTTGTTCTGTTTTTTTGTAGTATTCTTTCTGCTAATTTGTTTTGAACATATCGATGATATTGTTGTTTTCGTTGTTGTTGGTATTTTGTTGTTAGTGTTATGTTAGTACTGTTTCTGCTTTTTGTGGTTGCTGCAGCTTCTGCTTGTTGCTGCTGTTATGTTTGTTGCAGCTACTGCTGTTGCTGGTTTTGTTGCTACAGTTGCTAATATTTTATTGCTTGCTATAGTTGCTGCCGTTTCTGTTTCGTTGTAGCTGCTGCTGTTGTCTTCGTTGAAATCTTTACTATGGCCATTATGACTACCACAACATTCTGTTTTGCATGATTCTCTTATTGATGAAAGATTCATAACCTATTAATTTGTGATTAATATTGTTATTAATTATAATTGTCTATAATATTTATAATACTTCTCATTAAACTCATCTCTAAGCCGCGTGTGATGATCCGGGAATTCCCGAAAATGGCTTCCGCACTGGCGATGATTTTACTCTTGGCAAAATTGTTGTGTTCTGGTGTCCAGAAGGAACAACATTAAATCAAAATGATCGTCGAATCATCATCAGATGCATGTCTATAGATAACGTAGCACAATGGACGGATGAGACACCAATATGTTTTAAAAGTAAGTAGGCCTACGATTTTAATAAATGTCGACCTGTTTTCTCGCGTGATAATTCGACTGAGTCGTCATTAGCTGTTCCACAGCACATCTTTTGAGTCAGAAACGTTTCAAACTTGATATTTGGTATCTGTCATGTCAACAGTTGACTA